TAGTGATGACTCCCTGTAGTGATGATACCCTCAGTTCATCAGTTGCTGTTGTGATGACTCACTGTTCATCTGCTAACTATGGCGTTCATCATGGCCCAGGTTCCCACACGTGCAGTAAGGTGTTTTTTTCTGGGGTTGAGTGAGTGAGTTGCGCTGAACGCTTTTCTGTAGAATATTTCCGCTATATCCAGCGTGTAAGACTATGTGCAAGGAACGCCGAAAGTTACCCAGGTTTACGGGGGACCTACTCTGCCCAGGGCCCACTTGCGCAAAGCGATCTTAGCGCTAAGACTATTGTAAGCCTATGTTAAAGTATGGGAGTTACGATCATCTTAGCGCTAAGATCGCTTTGCGCAAGTGGGCCCTGGGCAGAGTAGGTCCCCCGTAAACCTGTTTTGATTCACCATATTATTCCAGGGCAGAGTAGGACATCTGTAAACCTTTTTTGATTCTCCATATTATTCCAGGGCAGTAGGCCTCCAGCACCTAGTTTTCACTCCCAGCTGTTGTTCTGGGCCCACGGTTTGTTGTAGACATCATATTAGACTGGTTCCCGGATCCTCCGCTTGGTGTCGCTGCACTTGTTCCGCTTTTCAATCTGTCGCAGGAACGAACGGGAACCAGTCTAACATCATATTGCCCCGGTGACTGCTTCAAGAGACTCTATTTTATCCTCAGAAAGGAGGACCCAAAGAATATGTATGTGACTCACAACAAATTACTTAGTATCTTACGGTCATTCAGTGAGAAGTCAAGATAACGTTACACAGACAGAAATCAAATCTAGAATCCAGAACTGTAATTTGTTTCTTTGTTTTAAAAAAACATAATCAGATATATTGACATTTAGATTAAAGATATTATAAAGCGATATGATTTACGTATCTCGTGTTAACGAGTTGTTTATGTGTAAGTACACAAAAGCTCGATGTCTTCTATTTGAAATAGGTGAGGTGAAATGGGGTTTCACATCGCGTCCAAGATTGTTGCACTTTTATCGCGACTTGGAATAACTATACACTAGGTATTGATTGTTTATCCCCTTGGGCCTTTGTGAAAAGATACTCTCTTGTCATTTAAATACATTATCGCAAATTGGAACAAAATTAATTTACTTGTATTTTTTTCGAAGATACGAGTAAGTATTTTAGAGGTGAATTGTGGTGAAATGGGGTTTAGGGTAGCGTTCAAGATAATTGCTCTTATATAGCGACATGTATGCGCGCGTGCGTGCGTGCGTTTGTGTGTGTGTGTGTGTGTGTGTGTGTGTGTGTGTGTGTGTGTGTGTGTGTCTGCTTGTACTAGTCTGGACTAATGCCGATTTTATAGAGCTAGCCCACTGAGATACCATGCCGCAGTTTCACATGAATACCTAACTCAGACACAGTATATTGTCTCCGAGCTGAGCAGTCCTTGTTTTAGCCCCTTAATGTCGAGCAACAGGCTGGGTAACAACAAATACAATCTTTAAACGTCTTTGGGTATGACGCGGCCGGGGATCGAATCCCGGATCTTCCGCTCTCCGGGCGGCCGCTCTACCACTAGACCACGGAGGCGGTCTTGAAATAGAAAAATAGTCAGAATATGTTATACAAATCCAATATGATCTCTAGTTCCAGTATGACCAGCTCTGAACTCACTATATGATGGTAATATGCAGAAATGGACTCTGAAATTGCGTTTGTGTGTTTGTTGTTTAACATCGCGCTCAGCAATATTCCAGCTATATGACGGCAGTCTATAAATAATCGACTCTGGACCAGACAATCCAGTGAGTGACATCATGAGCATCGATCCACACATTTGTGATACGATGACATGCATCAACCAAGTCAGCGAGCCTGACCACCCGATCCCGTTAGTCGCCTCTTACGACAAGCATAGTCACCTTTCAGGGCAAGCATGGGTTTCTGAAGACCTATTCTACCCCGAATCTTCACGGGTCTCCGAAATTGCAAGTAATGAAGGACTTATACTGTGAACTGATAACGCATATGTTCTCTTCTTAAGAGTTAATAATCAGAGTGTTTGCTTCAGGGTTTAAATGTATTTTAGTGAATATTTGACAAGTGCGAAAACAATTATTTATGATAATTACTAATACGTTTGTTGCCGTTTTTAGCCGTATATACTGATGATGATAAGAAAGTATACCGAATTTTGTCATAAAGGTAAAATAGAACACTAACAGCGCGCTGATGCTTATGTTTTAGTGAGTATGGTTTTACGCCGGTTTTAGCAATATTCCAGCAATATCACGACCGGGGAGACCAGAAATGGGCTTCACACATTGTACCCATGTGGAGAATCGAACCCGGGTCTTTGACGTGACGAGCGAACGCTTTAACCAACAGACTACCCCAGCGCCCCAACTCTCATGAACACACTATTGACCTTCAAGTGTCAACATCATAGATCCCACACAGCACTAGGGCCAGATCACGCTCATATCAGGACGACTTGTGAGTGTATATTCGTTATTGTCTCTAAATGAACGTCAACCCGTTAATAATGTGTATGGCCTCCACGTGCAAACAAACAGACGTGCACACGAAGTCGGACAGAGTTCGTTGGCGTCTAATGACGCATCAAGAATTGCTCTCCATTCCTCTCTCAGTTATTGTTCAAACTGATTTCCGGTCATTGGAGGATTGGGATGGCGTCGGATGTTCTTGTCAAGATGATCTCAAGGATGTTCTGTGAGTGACATGTCTGGTGAAGCGGTTGGCCATGGGATAACACTGACGTTGTTCGAGGCCGTGTTGTACAACACGAGCTGTGTAAGGTCATGCATGTTCCCGTTGAAACAAGATCTTGGGTTGCACTGAAAGAACGGTAACATGTAACACGTCGTAACACGAGGTCAATGTAACTGTTGGGGATTTAAATATTAAAATATATATCTATGACAACCAGTTTTGTCCTCTGTAGGCCAGATCTCCCCCCCCCCCCCCCCCCAAATAAAAAACAAAATACCATGCTCTCGAAGTCTCTGATATCATGCTTCAAGTTATCTTCACAACATTATTTTACACGTGCAGATTCGCCCAAACGCAGCACCTTGCGACGATGTTTCATGTTGCGTTATGTCGAACAAAGCTGTGACCTATATGACCTTGCATGGAACTGAAAGCCGACTGGAAATGACTATACACGAGGCATTGATTGTTTATCTCCTTGGGCCTTTGTGAAAAGATTCATGCTTGTCATTCAAATACATTATCGCAAATTGGAACAAAATTAATTTACTTGTATTTTTTTCGAAGATAAATATTTTAGAGGTGAAATGTGGTGATAACGTAGCATTCAAGATAATTGCTCGATATAGCGGCGTGTATGCGCGCGTGTGTGTGTGCGTTTTGATGCGGAAACAAGTCCCGACTAATGCCGATTTTATTGTGGCAGCCCAGTTTAGGGTAGCGTTCAAGATAATTGCTCTTATATAGCGACATGTATGCGTGCGTGCGTGCGTTTGTGTGTGTGCGTTTGTGCGTTTGTGCGTGCGTGTGTGTGTGTGTGTGTGTGTGTGTGTGTGTGTGTGTGTGTGTGTGTGTCTGTCTGCTTGTACTAATCTGCACTAATGCCGATTTTATAGAGCTAGCCCACTGAGATACCATGCCGCAGTTTAACATAAATACCCCACTCAGACACAGTATACTCCGAGCCGACCAGTCCGTTTTTTATTCCCTTACAGCCGAGCGCCAAGGAAAATCATTTCGAAAAATATTCAGTTTTAGTTACAAGATAAAAATTAGGTGGCTGTTCACAACCTGTTTATTTCATGATTGACTGTGTTTTTTCGGTTCATTTAAGTATTGACTGTGGGTTTTTCTGTTCATTTCAGGATTGACTGTTGGTTTTTTCTGTTCATATAAAGATTGACTGTGGGTTTATTCTGTTCATTTCAGGATTGACTGTGAGTTTTTTTCTGTTCATTTAAGTATTGACTGTGGGTTTTTCGGTTCATTTCAGGATTGACTGTGGTTTTTTTCTGTTCATTTCAGGATTGACTGTTTTTTTTCTGTTCATTTCAGGATTGACTGTGGGTTTTTCGGTTCATTTAAGGATTGACTGTGTTTTTTCCGGTTCATTTCAGGATTGACTGGTTTTTTTCGGTTCATTTCAGGATTGACTGGTTTTTTTCTGTTCATTTCAGGATTGACTGTGGGTTTTTCGGTTCATTTAAGGATTAACTGTGTTTTTTCCGGTTCATTTCAGGATTGACTGGGTTTTTTCTGTTCATTTCAGGATTGACTGTTTTTTTTCGGTTCATTTAAGGCTTGACTGTGGGTTTTTTCTGTTCATTTAAGTATTGACTGTGGGGTTTTCGGTTCATTTCAGGATTGACTGTGGTTTTTTTCTGTTCATTTCAGGGTTGACTGTGGGTTTTTTTCGGTTCATTTCAGGATTGACTGTGGTTCTTTCGGTTCATTTAAGGATTGACTGTGTTTTTTTCGGTTCATTTAAGGCTTGACTGTGGGTTTTTTCGGTTCATTTCAGGATTGACTGGTTTTTTTCGGTTCATTTCAGGATTTCCTGTGTTTTTTTCGGTTCATTTAAGGATTGACTGTGGGTTTTTTCCGGTTCATTGACGTATAAATCGAAAACCGATGTGCAAACTTTTTATAAGACGACTATGTAAGATGTGACGAATCGTCACATGGCGCTGGCCGGTGCCAGAGGTACTATCCTGGCCGCATGGAACTCTGGGTAGGGAAGTGTCGCCAAGTAAAATTGCTTTGATAATTTATGATGTCTTGTCTGCATTATTGTACCTTACTGTGTGAAGCCCATTTATTGTGTCCCCCGCCGTGATATTGCTGGAATATTGCTAAAAGCGGCGTAAAACCATACTCACTCACTATTGTACCTTATATTATACATTTGCTTAATATTATTATTTTTGCATGTTTACGAAATCCAATCTGATAAATGTATTACAATTAAACATTCCTAATTCAAATCCAACATTTCAATGAACAAACATCGTTTTCTTACAGCTCCCTCTGGTGGCTATCGCTGTGGTCCTGATGTCATCACCAGTACTACACACACATGCAGGGGCGTCAACACCGATAGATGGCGCTGTTTCTCACCCTCACCAAAGCCAAACAGACGACGTTTTCTTGAAGGCCCTGTTACATAATATTGGACCACTGATACCTGACTATGACACCTATTCACAACCAACTCAAGATGAGGCTACCCCACGTGAATATATCACTGTCAGAAATTCATTTCATCAAGGAAAACCCAAGAACAGCATCTCTGTTCCCACCTATAAAGGTCAAGGTCAAAACAAACGTGACTTCTGGACACCTCAAAATCGCTACAAGAGAGTTCGCGTGTGTCCGTTCTTAAACCGGGTGGGATTCCCACTCGGAGGCTGTCTCTATTCTTATATCAAACCGGCCTACAAGCCCCCACCACCCACCCCGAAACCAGCAAGCAAACCCAAACCCATCCCCCGTCCTGTGATCATGTGGCAGCCTTACCAAGCAAGATGGCCGGAGTTTTACTTCCTGGGAGGCGCGCTTGGAAGACGGTAAAGTGAAATCCGTCAGACTACGATGACTCTTAACATTTAATTTGAAACTTGAATTTGAAAAACGTCGAAACGTTATCACCAGAATTTCACATGTCCGTCGTGTAATAGCCTTCTTCATGTGATTGTGTAACGGAATAAAACATATGACTTTTCATAATGATGTGCAGTGACTTCATAACGAGACGTTTTAATTTTTTCAGTGGCAAATCTATTGGGTTCGGTTGGAGATTCACAGAATTTTGTCTCAGGAAGCAGGTGACACGTGCTAAAGATTATGCTCGTGTGTTTTGGTTGTTTACGATAAGATGAGTGCATGCACGGCGATCTCGACTGTTTGTTCATGCATTGTGGTAATAATAATAATAATGATAATAACAACAACAATAGGCTAATAATGTTGCGCATATTTCCACACCACTCAAGGGCATGCTCCGGTCACTGGATCAGTGTGCACTCAAGAACCATTCTCACCTCCCTAGGGAGTATACAGCCCAAGCTAGAAGGTTAACAACCACATTGCCTTCTCATCCTACCGGGTACCCATTCAAAGCCTGGTGAACAGAGGCATATTTCAGACAAATGTTCTTGGCCAAGGAGACGCCACATGTCTCACATGTGCTTCAGTGTGGGACAGGACCGAAGCCCTAGAAACTCTCAGGAGCCAAGGTGCCGAGACGCGGTCAAAGGACTCTCCGCCACGAACGTTGCTTAACTTCACCCGATGTGTGACCTGTGCGCTGTGCACAGGACCACGTGTCACCACCATGGTATGGGCGCTTGGGCAGTCCATAAACTAGTCCCTTGTACCAGAGATCACCGAGGATCTTCCAGCCTGGAATAATGGATTTGAAATCCAGGCTCGGTGACTTGCTTCATTGCGTGTCTTCGTATCCGGACGGCGTGCGGCGTTGTTCATAATATCAATCATTGATTTGTCTGGTCCAGACTCGATTATTTATTTGCTGTCGGTAGAATATTCATGAGTTAGGCTTTAAACAACAACAATAAAAAACAACAACAACTGTATGAGCCATTTTACGAACAGATGGGTTACATTTGGTATTTCCCACATATTCCCACAGTCGCGTAGATTATCTGTACCTTTTCTCCAAATACCGATTGTCATATCTCTCCCACTTTTGGATGCGATCATTCGGCCAAACCGTTGATCTGCGTAGCCAAGCTATATATATGGGGAACAACTTAGAGACACTTTCCTCTAAAAAATAATGTCGTCCAATATATCAAGTTTATATATCAAGTTGCGAGCGGGTATTCAAATCTCCAGAAAAGACGTCATGATAGAACACTGTTTTATCGACAAATTAACCACGCTTTGTTCTTGATCGCTCTTTGTGATTTATCGTGTAGCTATCTTATATTATGTATAGAAAAAGAGCTGTTCTCATGCTACACAGACACGGAACTCATCATTTAATGACATCTTTTGTAGCTGCTTCGCGACAGTATTAAATTTTGTCCACCCTTTCTGATTCTTCATGTGGTTCTCTGTAGCGACTTGAAGACCCGTGAATATCCGGGGTAGAACAGGTCTTCAGCAACCCTTGCTTGCCGTAAAAGGCGATTATGCTTGTGAGAGGCGACTAACGGGATCGGATGGCTCGCTGACTTGGTTGATGCATGTCATCGTATCCCAATAGCGTGGATCGTGGCTCATGATATTACTCACTGGATTGCCTGGTCCAGACTCGATTATTTACAGATCGCCGTCATATGGCTGGATTATTGCTGAGTGATACAAACATCAAACATGTAGAGACTCGCCACCATCACGAGGAACATGTAATGTTCTTGTATCATGGGGAGGAACATCTGGGGGAAGATAGTGTTCTTGTAACACCTGGAAGAACTTACAGTGTTCTTGTTCCATGTCTAGGAACATTCAGTGTTCTTGTACCACGTGGAATTACATTTAATGTTCTTGTACCAACTGTGGGTTGTACCAGCTGTCTACAGGGTATGGGTTGTACCAACTGTGGGTTGTACCAGCTGTCTAGGGGGTATGGGTTGTACCAGTTGTGTAGGGGTATGGGTTGTACCAGCTGTCTAGGGGGTATGGGTTGTACCAACTGTCTAGGGGGTATGGGTTGTACCAACTGTCTAGGGGGTATGGGTTGTACCAACTGTCTAGGGGTATGGGCTGTACCAGTTGTGTAGGGGGTATGGGTTGTACCAACTGTCTAGGGGATATGGGCTGTACCAGTTGTGTAGGGGTATGGGTTGTACCAGCTGTCTAGGGGGTATGGGTTGTACCAGCTGTCTAGGAGGTATGGTTTGTACCAACTGTCAAAGAGGTATGGGTTGTACCAACTGTCTAGGGGGTATGGGTTGTACCAAATGTCTAGGGGGTATGGGTTGTACCAACTGTCAAGGAGGTATGGTTTGTACCAACTGTCTAGGGGGTATTGGTTGTACCAACTGTCTACGGGGTATGGATTGTACCAGCTGTCTAGGGGGTATGGGTTGTACCAACTGTCTAGGGGGTATGGGTTGTACCAACTGTCTAGGGGGTATGGGTTGTACCAACTGTCTAGGGGGTATGGGTTGTACCAACTGTCTAGGGGGTATGAGTTGTACCAACTGTCTAGGGGGTATGGGTTGTACCAACTGTCTAGGGGGTATGGATTGTATCTCGGCCATTTGTCAAAATGAGACCGATATCATTTGTAAAAGTTCACAAAAGATACATCGAAGTACGAGATATCCAAAAATATAAAAAAGACGGCGGTTGACCTTTTTTCCAGGAGCATATATTTAGGCATATTTTGTGTTTCTGCTGGTATGGCAATGAGTTTCAAATCACAAAGAAGTTAAAAAACAAGCTGCTAATGGTATTCTTGTGTAGAATAAGAAGAAAATGATGCATTGTGCATCATGATAGTCTGATATTCTGTGTCGCTAACGCCATTTTCAAAGCGTTAGTTAAGAAGAAAGCGAGATTCCAATATACAAGATTGATATGTTGTATTTCATCCATACATGCTTCTCGATGAATTATTGACTTTATGTATTGTATTTATTCAGTAAAGAAGTTTGCCCACACAAATATAGTTTTGTTTTCGTCCTGATTTATTTCATTTAATCTGAGAGTTTTATGTCCTTTCTTCAATACATGCACAAATGTATGTTTATGTAAACCACTAGACATACTGTATCCATACTGTGTACTTGACTGGGGGCGGGGGTAGCCTTGTGGTTAAAGCGTTCGCTCGTCACGCCGAAGACCCGGGTTCGATTTCCCAAATGGGCACAATGGAGTGTCTCCCGCCGTGACATTGCCGGAATATTGCTAAAACCATACTCACTCACTCACTCACTCACTCACTCACTCACTCACTCACTCACTCACTCACTCACTCACTCACTCACTCACTCACTCACTCACTCACTCACTCACTCACTCACTCACTCACTCACCCACCCACCCACCCACCCACCCACTCAGTATACTTGATTAAATACAGTTAACTGGTTATAACGAACTCAAAGGGGCCACATCTTTTAGTTCGATATAACCGTAGTTCGTTATAAGCATATATACAGTGTATACACAGCAAATGCCCGTGACCAAACAATAGAACGTTATATCCGTAAGGTCCGTTATAAGGTATGCCTCCAAGGTATGACGACACACCATCAGCAATGTTCCACAGTGTGACCAGTTGATGCCCATCTGTAGTGTTGACCCTCATATAGCACGTATGTATGTGGACAGTTACGTGCAGCCTCGCCCCTTAAACAACGCTTGTAATACATATTACGATGTATGTCTTCCTCTGTCAGCACGGAATTATGGGGCCCAATGGGGAATATTTGACGTATTGGGCAATCAAGGTCCTGTTAAAACACAGAAACGGAATTAACTTATTTAGCTTAACGGTAAAACAAATACACGTAAATATAAATCTATAACGTCAAAGCCAGAGAATAATCGGTCATTCCATTGATCGTAAAAGGCAAAACAGAGGGAAATATATAAACAAATCAGTAAAAGTCCAGTTCTTTTCCTCAGTAAGCCCCCGAAAGCAATGACGTCACGATGATAGCCAGAACCAGGTGAGATGCCTTCTGTATTTGACCAATATGGTACCGATAATCGTACATTTACCATTTATGACCAGCACAACATTAATTTATATTGTTGTGCAATCGAAAATGTGTTAGGATAAAAGTAAAATGTTCTTGTGGCTATGGACAGGGCTTTGTCGACTTGTTGATATTTATGTATCAATGGAACAGTGGCCTAAGGGTCTCGCATACACTTCAACCCACAATGGAGATTTACCTGGTCTACAGAATCCACTGGTTTTGGTTCAGTAAGATTCCTAGATATCCCTACACCACTCTCGGGCGTCACCTACGGAGGGGTGTTCATTAAAGATTTCCCCTGACACACTTCCGATGGACCTAGCGGAATGAAACTTGGCATAGGTATTAGTATTTCACCATATAGGAACCACACTTCTCCCATCGTTTTATGCAACTATGGAGACCTCGCTTGTAAAAGCCCTCATTTTACGTCTCAAACTAGGACTTGACTTCAGAAATCAGTGTTTCATCATCTGTGAAACGTTTTCCCTTCAAAAATGACATCATGGTTGGAAAGAGGTGGAAGTCAGATGGTGCAAGGTCAGGAGAGTAAGGAGGATGTGGAAGGATTTCATAGCCACAGGACCGTGCTTCTGTCTGGGCAACATGAGAGTTGTGTACTGGAGCATTGTCTTGCAGGAGACGGACACCCTTTGTCAGCATGCCACGCCTCTTAAGCTTGATAGCGTCCCGCAATTTCCGCAGCAGTGAAGCATAATAAGCTCCTGTAATTGTGGTACCCTTTGCCAAGAAATCCATCGTCACTACTCCGTGCTGGTCCCAAAACACCGTGAGCATGACCTTGCCTGCAGAGGGTTAGAAACGTGCCTTCTTTGGGGGTGGTGACTCCACATGCTTCCATTGCATCGACTGAACTTTAGTCTCAGGATCATAGTGATGGACCCATGTTTCATCCTGGGTGATATGTCTGTCAAAAAAGTTTGCCTGTTTTTTTGGCTCATGTCCAAAAGATCCTTTGAGCAATTGACTCGTTCCTGCTTTTGGAAAGGTGTGAGCAACCTGGGAATCCATTGTGCAGACACCTTATGCATGTTCAAATTGTCATGGATGATTTTTTTCACAGACCCTACACTGATCTTGACATCTTGTGCTAACTGGCGAACAGTTATACGTCGGTCTGCCAAAATGGCGGTCTCCACTTGATGGATAGTGTCCTCATCAATGGCTGAATGGGGGCGACAAGGAATGGCAGCTGTTTCCCCAGGTGTCCGACCACACTTGAACTGGCGATGCCAGTGTTTACCAACGTCATATGATGGGGCATCT